GAGGTGTGGGGAGGTGTGGGGACATGACATGTGGGGGAAGGTGCGGAGTGAGGTGTGAGGACAGTGGCTGGTGTCCCGAGATCCCCCTGAAATCCAACCTCCTGTTGGTTACAGTGTTGACCAAGAAAGCACCTCCCTGACCCTTTTCTCGGTCACCAGCCACCACAGGTGAAGGCGGCAGCAAACCGCCTTGTGGGGACCCTCAGATGCCCCGCCTCCCGGGCCGCTGGGGGGTGGAGGGGTGGAGCCTGCTGCTGTGAAAACCCCACTCAGTTCTGTGCAAACAGCTGCAGCCGGAGCGGTTTCTGGGAGTCACTGGGACCACATGCCCATGACGGACAGGCGTGAGCACAGCCCTCGGAGCAGAAGGTGAGGGCAGGAGGAAGGCCCACAGAAAGGCAGGTGCGATGGGGCGGGTGACAATGAAATCGACGGAGAACAGGAATAAAGTGGGGGAATTTCTAAACCCTGTATTTCCTGCATAACTGCAAAGTGACCCCTCAATTCTGGACCAAAATAGCTCAGACAGAACGTGCGTTATCAGGAGAGCGACACACGGCTAACTCAGCTCCGCAGGCCTCTCCTCTCTCAGAGCCTCGTCCGCGGCTGTCGGACGTCGGCTGCCACATCGACGACCCTTCGCTCTCGGTCCGAACGCTCCCACCATGGCCCTGGCCCCGGGGGCACCGCCCTCGCGGCCTTACCTTTCACCAGGACCTTGGGCACCTTGGTGTGGCTGGCGCAGAAGGCGCTGTACAGCTTGAAGCGGTCGGCGTAGTACAGGAAGGAGCCTCCCAGCGAGAACAGCACTTTCTGGGTTTAAGGAGAAAAGGCCTGGCTGGTTCAGGCCGCGCTCACCTGGGAATATCCGCAGGCTCTCGGGGCGCCCCCGCCCGCTCAGCATCAGTCACCCCGTCCCAGCTCCTCCCTCAGGGGGCTGGGGGCCGGAAACTGCCCCCGAAAGCAGGCGGGCTCACCAACCTGGGTAACGGGTTTGGGGTTTGGCCTTTTCAGTAATTACAGTGCAGAGAGAGGCCAGTTTTCTAGGCCAGTGTTACTTGTGTTTTTAAAATGCATTTTTATTTATTTCAGAGAGGAAGTAAGAGGGAGAGAGAGGAACATCAATAATGAGAAAGAGTCATCGATCGGCTGGCACCTGCACGCCCCACACTGGGCATCGAGCCCACAACCTGGGCCTGTATCGAACCGCGACCCCCTGGTTCACAGGTCAACGCTCAACCCCTGAGCCACGCGGCCGGGCAGCCGGTGTTGAAAGGGCCTGTGTGGGTGTGGGTGTGAGTGTGGGGTGTGGGGTGTGGGGTGTGAATGGGAAACACGGTGCATCGGAAAAGGCAGACCTGAGCCCCTCACCAGCTCCCGGGGCAGGACTGTCGAGGCCGGGCTTCTATCGGAGCCTGTGAAACAGGCCTCAGGAGAGAGCCCTCAGAGCAAGCACGTCACACCCGGGCCTCGCCTGCGGCCCGCCAGCCGCGAGCTGGACGTGCTTACTCTGTAGTTTCACGCGAGCTGGTCTTGTTCGAGAGACGCCGCTTACTCGGGCAATAAAAACAGGTGTGGATGTGAGTGAGGAACCGGTCCCAGCGTGCAGTGTGGCTAATGGACATGCAGGGAATTGGGAAGGACGGGCTACTTACAACCACCACGGTTGCTTAGGAACCCACGCAACCGGCAGGCAGAGGCCAGCGTGGTCTCCTCTCTATTTCACGTTCGGCC